AGGATTGTTGTGCCGAAAGTCGAGTCCTTGCGAAAGGAAATCTTGATAGAAGCACACAGTGCGCTTTATTTAGCTCACCCTGGAAGCCCCAAAATGTATCATGACTTGAAAAAGTCGTTTTGGTGGAAAGGGATGAAAAGAGATGTAGCAAACTTTGTAAAGAAGTGTTTGGTCTGTCAGCAAGTTAAGGCAGAGCACAAGAGTCCATTAGGTCTGTTACAACCACTTGAAATTCCAAAGTGGAAATGGGAAGAAGTTACCATGGATTTTGTTACAGGGCTACCTAAGTCATCTAAACAGCATGATGCGATTTGGCTAGTAGTGGACAGATTGACGAAAGTCGCATACTTTATGCCTGTAACAATGACCATGTCAATGGACCAGTTAGCCGAGATTTATTAGTGGAATCATTCGACTCCATGGAGTGCCTGTTACGATCATATCCGATCGAGATCCCAGATTCACTAGCAGATTTTGGGAGAGTTTGCATGAGGCAATGGGCACACAATTGAAGTTTAGTTCGGCGTATCATCCAGAGACAGATGGCCAGTCAGAAAGGACTATTCAGACGCTCGAGGATATGCTCAGAGCTTGTATTCTGGATAGAGGTGCCAAGTGGGAGAAGTGGTTACCATTAGTAGAGTTTGCTTACAATAATAGTTACCACACATCAATTCATATGGCTCCGTATGAAGTACTTTATGGCCGTAAGTGTCGTTCGCCTCTTTATTGGGATGATGTTGGAGAGAGACGAGTCCTTGGTCCGAAGATGATAGAAGAGACAGTTGAGCAAGTAGCCTGGATTCGAGAAAGGCTAAAGACTGCTCAGAGTCGTCAAAAGTCTTCAGCCGATAAGCACAGAAGGGAGATGAAGTTTGAAGTTGGAGATAAAGTATTCTTGAAAGTTCGACCGATGCGAGGTGTCGTTCGTTTCGGGAAGAGAGGCAAGTTGCATCCTCGTTATATAGGTCCATTTGAAGTTCTGGAGCGAGTTGGAGAAGTATCTTATCGCTTAGCTTTACCTCCCAAGTTGTCAAGTGTGCATAATTTTTTCACGTATCGATGTTACGTGCGTACGTGTGCGATCCAGAGCATGTGCTTCAGCACAATGAGATTCAGATTCAGCCTGATTTAACTTATGAGGAGCAGCCAGTAGAAGTTTTGGACCGAAAGGTTCATCAGCTCAGGAATCGAGATATTCCCCTCGTTCGTATTAAAGGAATCGCCACGGAGAGTCAAATGCCACTTGGGAGCGGGAGGCTGATATTAGAGCTCGTTTTCCAGATTTTGAGTTCTGATATGTACTCAGAAGGTATGTATCTCAGTTTTAGTATTTCCGAGGGCGGAAATAGTTTTAAGAGGGGTAGATTATAATATCCCATTCAGTAATTAATAAAAGTAATTATTTCAGTTCTAAGTTAGAACTATTTTACTTTTATTAATAATGATCTTTTATATTTCCAAGCCTTAATAAATCTCTTGGAATCTTATTTTTCAGTTGGCTCGACATTAAAGTTAAATCGGAATCGTTTTTCATTAAATTGAGTTAGTCGAGTAAATGTTATAAATTGCCTAAGTATTTTATGTGACTTATATGATTTGATTGATAAATTATAAGGATTAAGTAGAAGTTATTTAGACAAGAAGGTCTATTTATATTATTAAGAGTATATTCGAAATTATATTCGCTAGTTTCGAGTTTTTTCGATGTTCGGTTGTAGTCGATAATTAAGTCCGATTTCGTTTCCGAAAAATTTATTTTCTTGTATTTTTTTTTTCAAGATCATTAATAAGAGTTAAAATTTTTCAGCATAAAAAGGAAAAAGGCCAAAAGCAAAAGATGAAAATCTGAAATTTTTAGAATTTTTGATTTTTCGGTAACCGTTCATTTTAAGTCGGAATTCGGTTCTGTAAATTGGAAATTTTTCACTAAATCACGAATTCTATCATGGATATAGGATTAGGATCACATGATGGGACTTTCTAAGTATTGAATATAGATTTGTTATGTTTACAAGTTATGATTTCCATTCTTTATCTTTATTTATTTTTATAAAATTTTTCTAAGTATTTTTAAGGGATAAATGAGCCATTTTAGCTTAATTTCGAGGCATGGTCAAAGGGAGAATGTTTGTCTTGATATATGCAAGATAAATCATGCATTACAAGTACTTATCAAGGCTTAATCATCTTTGTGCAAGATTTTAGAAAAACATTAATGATAAGGGGCCTATGGTGTTTAATATGATGGAGTGTTGATGTAAAGAAGGTGATGTTGTCTCCTTTGCTACCCTATATAAAGGAGCATCAGCATAGGCTCAAAATTCACATCATAATAAGCAAAGTCTTAGCTATAGAGGGTAAGAAAGAGAGATAAATCGAGAGAAATCTTGACGAAGATAAGTTGAGATCAACTTCTGAAGTTTCATTTTCAAATTTCTTGAAGAAGGTTAGATGCTACCTTTTTATCATATGTTATAGTTTATATTAAGTGAATATTGATGTATTTTCATGACATATATATATATTCAATTTTTAAAGAAATTTTAAGCATGAAAAAAAAAATGATAAGTTGTTTCCAGCACAATCACATGTTATATATATACTGTTTTGATTCGAATTTGAGCATGATATGCATAACTTGACATGTTAAGCTTATTATGGATATTTCTTGTGTAAGTGCTGAGTATATAGGTGAAAGAATTATGTCATTTGGCATAGTATAGCTTGAGTTATAAATTTTTGAAGTTAAGCATGCAAGTTGAATTTTATGTTCTTTATTTCAGTTGTGACTTTAAAATTGTAATAACTCGATATATAGGCATGATAAAATTATGAAACTTTTACGACATGCTTATATATGGGTTAAGAACATGACTGCCAAATTTCATGATTTTATATTGAGAAATGAACGAGTTAAAATATTTATATGGCATACATGTCAAGATGATTTTATATGCAAGAGTATTCAGTACATGGTTAAGTTTTTAAAATGGAATTTTTAGAAAAAAATCTTATATGAGTGATGAGCAATTTGACCAAGTTTCAGCTCAATATGTTGAGTATGTGATTTTACAAAATTTTTTCAAGTCTAGTATATCAATATCATAATTTATTGTTATGATAAAAACTTGTATTGAATAAGTATCAAGTTTGAGATTTTAATATCAAGCAAGTTTAAGACAAGTTTGATAGATTAAAAATCCGTATAAATCATGTATATGATATTGGTAAAAGTTGAGCATGTTTTGAGTTCATGTATTCAATTAAGTCTAATGTGAAATTTAGTTTATTTTCACATACGAGTTATTTAAGTGACATGCGAGTATAAGCCAATATCTAAGATTTTGAAAGATATGATTTATATGGGTTAAGTATTTGACCTTGAGTAAAAGTTTAAGAAAAGTTTGGTTTTTCAATGATTTAGTATTCATTTGAGCAATAGCATGTTTAATAAATATGTTTAAGATTCGGATAAGTTATCTGGTAGAGTTAAGAATTCCAGCATATTATTGAGTATACGAGCATAATACTTAGTATATTTGTTTATATTGTTATGTAGCTTGAAGAGTTAGCTACCAAAGAATAACACTTACGCTTTTCAAAGTTTGAAAAGAAGAAAGGTGGGGACCCAGACTGGGTATTACATTGAGTATAATATTGATATCATGTTCGAGGTATGTATACAGTTTAAGTTTATACGCTTGGGATGAGGAGGCATTCAGTTGTCTCAGAGTATATCCTAAGTTCTGATGGAGGCCGTTTGAGTTGCCTTGAGAAATATCCATCAGATTGTGCACAAGTATCCGATTAGATATCGGCCAGATTCAGTTTAAGTTACTGGAACAGATTTCCAGTCAAGATATATACCAAAGATCATGATATTGTATTATTATTGCTGTTTACTTTAGTATGGGTGATTTCGGGGCAGTACTCACCCCCATTGTGTTTTTCAGGTAACAGGGTCGGGCTGGAGGTGTGAGCTCAAGAAGTGGTGGTGGTGGTCGTGCACTTCTTTAAGTGGACATTTATTATGAACTTGATATGTCTGTATATTTATTCACGTTTTTAAGTATTGTCGCTACGCATATTGAGGCTTGAACTTGCATTCTAATAAATTTCAGATTTCAAGTTTTTATCATTTCAGAAGTATGAATATGATATAGTTAAATGCAAGTTTAATTAAATCTGTTTTCTTTATGTCTAAAGAAGTATTAGACAAAGTTTAAAGATAAACGGATTTCCAGAAAAGATGAGTTTGAGTAGCATCCCGAGTTAGTCGCAAAAGATTTCGAAAGAGTTATAAGTATTTTCGAAGTAAAAGTTGCGAAAAATTTACTCTGATGAGCGGGGTGTTACATATTATATGGTCTAACTCTACTTCACCGCGACTCGACAATGGGGACATTGTCTGGTTTTAAGTGTGGGGGAGTTTTACATGCTTATGTGACTATGTGGTGGATCAGGTCTAGGTTTTCTTTTTAGGGTTGCTTTTATTTTCTTTTCTATTGCGTGGACCAGTCTAGTTTAGGTTTATTTTGTTCTTTTTGAGATGGACATTGGTAAATTTCAAGATTGGTTTATGGTTGTTTGATGACGTTGGGAAGATGTGATGATGATCTTGAGTGGCATATTTTGATGTGTGGCTTGGTTGCTTTGATTATCACTCATATATATACCCGGTGAGATTTGAGCCGTATTCATTTCTTGTGAGATATTGGTCTGAACGTTGATAAATCAGAACTTGCCTTGAGTCTGCTTTGAAATAAATCGATTGAATTTGTGATAGGTGAATTTGATTGAGGAATTCCTTGTTATTTGTGTATCCTTTTTCTTCATTTGAGAATAATTTTTGCTAGTCACCCCTTTGAGCCGTAATTCTTATTTTCGTTGTTGACCCCGTGTTGATGATATTTGGAAATGGGTGGTGATGATTGTCGCAATTGTGAATTGTGGTATCGCATACAAAAAAAAAACAACTGAACGGATTATACTCTAAGTGCTTCAACCGCTAAGTCAGCGGTCTCGAGTAACGAGTACGAGAAACCGATCTAGGAGACTCGGGCAGAAAACCCGATGGCTGAACCTAGATAAAATGTCCGTAAGGTTCTAAAAAAAAAGAAAAAAAAAACAAAAATAAAGAGTTATAATAATATGGAAGCATGTTGGCTTTGGTGAAGGTTGGAGAGACTTGTTGAGGCCGGAGGAGTTGTTGATATAGGCCAATTGACCTATATTTATCCTACCCGATCCATTAAGCCTACATTACGTCCCTACAAGTCCTCTTGATTCACTGTCTCATTAATTTGGTTGATTTAGAGTAGAGGTTAGACGATAGGCAAGCATATGATTGATTTGACTGACGACCAATTTGAGTGCTCCTGTCGTTTATTTTTGGAAGAAATTGAGTTAGGCATTTATATCATATCTCCATACTCGAGAGTTAGTGTGATCAAGCGATTGAGTTCATGGTCAAGGTGTGTTCTCGTGGTCATTGGAATTCTTTTCAACATAGTTGATCAATTTGAGGCTTTTCTTGTTTGAAACCACTGTCCACTCTCGGTTGCTTGTTTTGTGTTCTTTTATTTTCTTCTCTTTCTCTTCTTTTCTTTGTTCGGGACGAACAAAGGTTTTAGTGTGGGGGAGTTGTTCATTCCATTTACGTCATGTTTTTCTTGTTTATTTTATGTTTATTTTTTCCCTCCGTAGGTATTTTTCTTTGGTTCTTGGTCCATTTTGAGTCGTTTCGTGCATTTCCCCTGTTTTATTCGTTTTTTGCCCTTTTGTTTGTTTTTCTCAGTTTTCCGTATTTCTTGTCGGTGGTGATGTGCAGGATAGGTAGCGCGGTGCGTGGCCATGCGAGGATTACCATCTAGATGGATGAGTTGGGGTCGAATTGGAAAAGACGGGATTAAATTCCGAGTCCGAATGCGTGAACACGAACCCGAGAACATTTTGCTGTTAAGGAAATCCTTCACCGCGGCCCACGACGGTCTCCTCGCGGCCGCGGTGAACAAAACCTATCGTCGCCAAGTTTTAGTCGCCGCGGCCGCAGAGGAGAGGTCGCGGCAGCGAGGGTCTCAAAAGTCCCACTTCTGTCCAGATGATGCCGCGGCCTCGGGGATGGTCGCGGCCGCGAGCTTTCTTCACGGCGGCCCGTGGGATTTAAACTCAGTTTTTAGATTCATTTTTCATTATGTTCTTCCTAGGTTTTGGATACTCTCTCGTACTTTTGAACCCCAGAACACTTTTTCTCTTAGTTTTTGGTAGAAATTCATCTTGAGAGTGAAAAACTCCAAGATTGTTATTTTCGGATTTGTTTCGCACTCGGATTTTGACGTTGAACCTTCGTATTAATCGTAAGCTTCTATTTTCATTTCATTCATGAATGTTATGGCTTTGTTTGATATGAATGTTTGTGTTGAGATCACTATGAGTAGCTAAATTCTCTAGCTAGGGTTAGGGGATTGTTGTTCCGGTTCGATCTCGTTTACATGCTTGATAATTGCTCAATCTTTTCGAGTTGTGCTTAACCTAGGGTTTTAGATGCTTGATCATCATCTCAATCTAATTAATCGATTTTAAAACCGAAAGGGGAGAAATCGATCGATCTAGGCTCGTTTAGAATAGGCTTGTTCGGTGACGTATTGTCTATGTGCTAATTGACTCGATAATCGTTCGTTTATTTTTATTCTCTTGTTTCGCGAGATATTGAGAATGAATCTGTAGATGAGTTAATTTTACGAGACCTTTAGCCGAGTTATTGATTATCTGTTAAATGTTTTGAGAATCGGAAGTGATTATCCCCGATACCCTAGCCTCCTTTATTACTATTTGAATTCGTGTTCAGAGTTGTGAGATTTGAATAGTTAGGATTAGCTTTATAATTCGTAGTTGATAAATCAAACCAAATCAATCTAATTAGAGCGTTAGGATTATTTTCTCTTTTGTGATTGAATATTCGCGCAATTTAATCCGGCTAACCTTCCTTGCGATACGACCCGGTGTTCGAATCTTTTGATTCTATTCCGGTAAAAATAACTACAACATTCACTTAAAATGTGATGTGATAAATGTGTCACAATGAATTATTATAATGATGATGGTTTACATAATTAACTTATCTTTTTGTGATATGAGATGTTTTGTTCTCGATTGGTGTAAAATTATTACTAGCTAAATATTTGTAAATCGATATTTGATCAATCTGAGTATGAAAGTGGGTATGATATATATGGGCCCACTACCCCTCCATGTGTGCTACTAGATATTATTGATCCACTAGATAGCCACATGAGTATGTGATTCGTAACGTGAAGTTACGAGATGTTTTGATCAATGAATATGATATGACACGTAACCTGATGTTTTGAGATGATTATGAAATAATATGATGGTGAAATAATACGCTGGAAGCATTGGTATTAGTATCATACAAATTATGGAAATATTATTATATAGAATACGCGTTGTACTCTTTTTCCCTTGCTTGAGGTTTTGTCCTATTGGGTTTTACCAGCAAGGTCTTTAATGAGGCAATATACATGGCGTATTCACATGAATAGTGTACTCTTTTTCCTTAATTAGGATTTTGTCCCACTGGATTTTTCCTAATAAGGTTTTAACGAGGCATATTCATGTTATGATGAAGATTACTGAATAAATTATATGATTCCTCACAATGATAAGAGAGACTGGAGTAGCTGTACTATTTTTCCTTTGATCAAGTTTTTTCCCACTGGATTTTCTTGACAAGGTTTTAACGAGGCAGCACGTGGATACTCCACTAAAGATGATCAATTTAAGGGGGAGCAATGTTGTGCTTCCACAATGCTCAGGTTTTGTCCCACAGGGTTTTCCCGAGGAGAAATGTTATGATTTCACGATGACCAAGTTTTGTCTCACCGGGTTTTCTTGACATATTGAAGCACCAGTACCTGATGGCCACAAGATACAATTCAAGATATTCAGATTGGGATTTGTTCAAATCAGTCAAAAATATGTTTAGAAAATAGTCATTCAACGGGGAGTGTTATAAAATTAAATGTTAGATAGTAGGTGTAACAAATACACCAACTTTTAATATTTTTATATATGTGAATGACTATTTTGCCCTTGATGTAATTGTATTATTACGATTTTGCCATCAGAAGTTTTCCTATAAATAGTAGCTTCAGTTATAATGAAAAAACAACCAAGAAAAAACGTTCTCTATATTCTCTCTATTTCTCTTGTTTTATTACAGTTTTAAAGTCTATGTTGATATTTCATCAACAAAGAGCATGTTCAATGACACAAACGTGTGTTGTAAATTTTGTCGTCAGCCTCTGTTCTATATTTTCCAGCACCGAAGAACAAGATTACTCATTATTGGAATCTAAATTTCACAACAAATCTGACATGAAATTCATAGCGGTAGCCTAACGCGTTGGACAACAAATGGAGAAGGGTGGTCTCGCTATGCATTTCTAGTTGACCGAAATTGTAACTAAGAAAA